ACCCTGCAAATCAGATGGATCATTAACTAAATGCCACGAACAATAATAAACTTGCTGTGCAGGCCCAACTTCTGGAATCATAAAAGGGGGATTAAACAACAAAGTTAGTACTGCTATCATGGAACCTTTTCAATATGGATATCCTTGGCGACTTCTCCTTCAATAGATGCAACCAGCCTTTCAACAGATTTGCGCTGGCGTACAGGGCGTTCAATTGTTGAAGCCGGAGGTGTTTTAGGCTCTTGCTCCTTCTTGTCCTCCACTTGCCTTTTCCTCTTCCTGTCTTTCTTAAGAGCACCACTCTCAGACTTATCACTCTCCTTTGATCCTCTCTCAATTTCATGCTCTTCAACACTTTCTTTTTCCTCTTTCTGTACATCAGCCACGTCTTCATCCTTGTCTTTATCTGGTTTTTCACCAGTTTCTTCTTCCATTAGCTCAATCTTGGTTTCTGGCTTCTCTTCCGCTCCTTTGCTTTCCTTGTCAGCTTTCTCTTCTTCTTCATCTTCCTTACTTTCTTTCACCTCTTCTTTGTCTATATCCATGTTCTCAATGTCCTTTTTATCACCCTCTTTTTTCTCTTCTTCTACTTCTTTCGATTCATCCTTTTCAGCATTCTTCTTCTCTGTAAAGGCTTCACTCTTGTCTTCCGCTGCCACATTTCCATTGACGGATGCCTCAGCCAATTCAGAGACAGTTTCGCCCTCTCCCATAACCAAAATTCTACTTCTAATAGGCCCAAAAAAAGCCCCCAATCACGTAGCAAAAGATAACCTGCATAAGTATCAAATCGTAAGCTTGAAGAACTCGGGAATTGGCTACTAAACTACACAAATTTCCGTGGCAATTGCGAAGAACCAATGAAGCTTAAAGAGGAGAGAAAAAAAGAAGCAATATTTTATCTAAAATTACATGCAAATGATGCACCCAACATGTTATCTCTTATCAGATACCGAAAACTCTTCACATCCACACACACACACAGAGACACACAGAGCTACACAGACAAACACACAAAATAAGTTAGGTAAGCTAGATGAATTGTCTGCATAATTTACTATTTTACACTGGCCTCAACCTGGACCGGCTATGTTCAAAGGAGTTAAGCCCAAAAAAGTCAAATGACAAAAAAATTCATTATTTTAATTTTTACCTGTCAATTTTAAAAGAAAACCTAAACTTAAAAAAAAAAAAAAAAAAGAAAAAGAAAGGAAAAAGACTTTATATCGAAATCCAACACAACATCAAGAATGCTTAATAAAGGAACTAAAATTTTAAGCTGAATTTGCATGTTATCAGTTACCTCAAACTCTTCACACACACACAGAGTAAGCCTCAATCCCTAACAAGTTAAGGTCAGCTAGATTAATCCTCTACATTATACACAATTTTACACTCCATCAACCTGAACCAGCTATATACAAAGGAGTTAACCCCAAAAAATACAATTGACAACAAAAAATCATAATTCAAATTTTTACCTGAATTTTTTATATATATAAAAAAAAGCCTAAGCTGCGAAAAATGCAAGCTTTCTACAATAATCAAACACACGGACATTAAGAATGTAAATATTAAGCTAAATTTGCATGTAATTAGTAAGAAATTGAGTACTTACAAAGAGTTGAGAGCTAAATTTTCTGAGTTCTACTCTCGTCAGTGAGAACCTTTGCCGTTTTACTTCATGCAGCGGACTTCAGTTTCGGATTTTAAATAGTGTTAATTGCCATTGTCGGATTAATATGCGCACGATTCTGGAAATAGGACCGAGACCGACGGTTGTGATCGCTTAGCCGCCTAAGTGACGGTGGAGATTGCTTTTATTTTAATTTCGACATGTAAACTATATAATTTCACAGATTATCACACTAATCGTACCTTTTTATATGTTGAGTATTAATTTTTAAAAAAATTATATTTAAGACAAGTCGAATCCTAGTTATACTCTAATTAAAATGATATCCTAGTTCGACACTTGAGGTGTGTTTGGCAGGAAGGAAAATATTTTCCTGACTCTTTGGTTGGTGAGTGAAAAAAATTTCGAAAAATATTTTTTAGTGTTTGGTTAGAAAGTATAAATTATTTTTAGGAAAGTAATTTTTTATGCTACTCTACTCAACTCATTTTCCCCAAAATCCTCATGTTTCCTATACTTCTTCCCCTCCCCCTCCTCCCGGACTCTATTTTCTTCAAAATTTTAATTATTTTTCCAAAATTCACATAAACTCAAAGGAACTAATGTATTATTTTACTTTTTCACACAAGAACAACGTTAAAATTTGAGCTTGATAACTAAAAAGAAAATACTTTATTTTGTTGAAAAAGAAAGTATCTTTTCTACAACATGAAAGAAAATAAATACTTTTTCTATATCATGAAAAAAAATACTCAGTTTGTTGAGATGAGAAAATATATTTTTACATCATGAAAAGAAAGTACTCGCTTTGTTGAAATGAAAGAAAATACTTTTTCTACATCATAAAAGAAAAGTACACATTTTGTTGAAATGAAAGAAAATACTTTTACTATATCGAAAAAAATATATTAATTTTGTTGAAATAAAAAAAGTACTCTATCTACAACATGAAAAGAAAGTACTATTAATAATAGTTCTATTTAGGGTGGGTGGTGGGTGAGGTTGGGATAGGTTGGGGGAG